TAGGGCTTCAATCTGTTCAATTTTCACTTCAATCGGAGCTACGGATCTTCTGTAATCGCAGCTGGTGCGACGCTGCGTTTTTGGGTGATAATCCTGATTTTCCTTCTCTATTGTTGGTGCCTCTTATGTATGTTGTTGTTGGTGGGCTGTGACATCCTTGTAGACTGAGTTTGGGTGTTTTTACCCTCAATTTGCATAATAAGAGAAGAAGAGGGCGGACTCCCTATAAGTCCCGTGGTTTTTATCCTTCACATCGAAGGGGTTTTCCACGTATAAAAATCGTGTGTCGTTTGCATCTTTATTCTTCATATTTGATTGTGGTTTATTTGATGTGCTGCTGATTTTGTGTGCTTGGTTAATCAATTGTGGTAAATTGGGTCAAGTGTTTGGTTGGTTGTCTTGAAGTTGATCCTTGTAGGTGCATCCTACTTGTTGCTTCTCTCCCAACAGATACACGGGTCATTGTTCAACCAAATGTCTACTGCCATTGGACATTTGTTGAAACTAAATATCTACTACCATCACTAGACATTATTTCCGCGACTAGACATTATTCAAGTATTATTTTGGGAATAAAAAAGTTTAAGTACTACATTATGAAATCAGAGTATGTTTTCGTATTATTTACTGCAAATTTCACTTGCAAGCTTACAACAATTTTGACAAGACAAGTAGATATTCCTTAAATTTATCTGGTGATTTGGGGAGGTATATATGGTACAAGAAAATTAAAGAAAAAGAAACTGGAATAACAAAGAGAAACAAAGTAAAACACCAAGAATCATATTGTTATTATTGGGCACAAAACCACCGTTGTGACGACGTCGATGACGATGAACAGTACCACCACCGCCACGATATGAAGAAGATTTACCTGCTCTTCTACCAACAATGTGTATCTGTCTATCCACGCCTTCATTACCTGTGTATTGGGTCACATGAATTGAACAACATTTGTAATTAGCATCTTTGAGTTGGAATAATTTTTCTTAATGAAAAAAATTATATATCTTGATAGAAGTAAAAAAAAGAAAAAAAGCAATGCAATATATGTTAACGTGACATCGGAGTTTTTGCCATGAGTGTAAATACTAGTTCATCAAAACACGAAGAATTATATCTGCACGTAGGTGGTGGGGACGTTTTTTATATGTTATAAAAAATTTTCCGGGACTCTAAATCATCTAATCAAATAACTGGTCGATCGAGGTTTTATTTTTGATACGTGACGTTGAAACTCGAACTCGTAATATTTACTAATTTAAGGAAATATAGATAAATTCATATGCATATACATACATACCTGAAATAGGGAGGGGTGCATTAGTATTTGCAGCACCGGCATGAAGAGGGCAATGGTGGAGATTTAGCAAAATGAGAAGCAACAACAATATTACTCTTACATATTTCTTCATTTTTGGCTGCCTTTCTATCCCTTGCTCTTATATATCTATATATATAAATATAGTTTCTTCAATTTTTTTCCCCTTCTTTTTTGCATTATATGGGAGAAGAATGGTGGATATATATAGTTTTGATCATACATTATAATAATAACAATAATAACAACTAATACAACAAATAATAATGAAATATTTGCACTAAATAGCACTAAAACCTAAGTCATTTCTCTAAATAGCATTTAAATTATTTTAATCCCTAAATAATACTTAATAATGTCTTTAATGTCCAATGATGACGAAAATTTATTTGAATAATGACTAGTGGATAATGACTAAAAGTGCTACATTGGGAAGAAATACACATGTCGTGCTATTTAGAGAAAGTCATTATATTTTAGTGCTATTTAAGTAAATTCCCCAATAATAATAACAATACCGAGTAATAAACTTCGAGTATGCGTTAATAGTAAAGGTAGAGAAGAAAACCTAAAAGAATTTATTAAAATATGTAGGAAAAATTACCCAAAATAATCCCAACTTTACCCAATCTTTCAAAAATAATCTCACCTTTTACTGTGATGTATAATAATCCCAACTTTATTGAAATTTGCGAGTTTTGGGTCGTCGTTAAGTTTCTAACGGAGGGTTAACGGAAATGCCTGTTTTAGGCAACAAAATGAAAGTTGGGATTACTTTTGATGAATTTTTGTTTTTAAATTTTTTAAAAAATTTTTATTTAAGTTTTTGGAATTACTTTCAACCTCCATTTCTTTTTCTTTTTTAAAGATTATTCTTACCTTAGAAAAAATAAAATATATATATATATATATATATATATAAAATAATGAAAATGAGAAAAATACCTAAAATCATACAAAATTAAGGTTGAAAGTGGTTGACTGAAAAAATCAAAACAGGACAAATATTCTGCGACAAAGGTAGTAGGTAACAGAAGATGACCAAATAAAAATGGTAAATTAGTGTAAAAGTGTTTTAGTCTATTTTACAACAAAATAGTCGCATATATTGTGTAACCTATAAAGAAAGAAAAGCATTGTATACTAACGTGACACCCACTTCTTTATTTTGTTCTCTTTTACCGTTTTACACCGTTTTTACTACGGAGTATATAGATTGCGTAACACCCACTTCTTTATTTTGCTGAAATTTACCGAAGGTTGTGCTACTACGTAATACGTAGTATTTTATTGACACATACTCCTATTCGAGTTTGAATAAATAGTAAAAAAGAAGTAAAATACTCCCTCCGTCCCCCTAAGATGTTCTTATTTTGACTTTTGGTGATTTTTAAGGAGATTTGAAAAAAAGTGAAAGTTTACCATAATACCCTTAATGAAAAATGGGTGGAGTGTATTAAATGAGGTGGGTAAGGTGTAATAAATAAAGTAAGTGAGGGTAGTTGTGGTATTTTAATTGTTAAAAAATGAAATGAGAAGATCTATTGTGGACATAGAAAAAGGACTATTGAGAAGATCTATGAGGGACGGAGGGAGTATAAGAAAAGAATCAAGAGTAAATTCTCAAAATAATCTTTTGTAATAAGGTGTTTTTCCAAATCAGTACTCAATGAGTTTTAATTACTTATGTGGTCCTGTATAATTGAGATTTATTTCCAAGATGATCTTTCATAAATAATGTTACTCAAATGAAGATTAATTGAGGGTATTTTGGTATTTTTTATTCGCTATATTTGGAATTAATTCTTAAAATGATCATTTATAAAGAAATGCTTTCCCAAAATGGTTTTTTCTAATTAAAGATGTGTATTTGATTTGAAATTTAAAAGATTTTTTTATAAGTTTTAAATAATTCATGAATTGTTTATAGTCAATGTATTTTTTCAATTTTTACATTTAGTTGTACATAAATAACTGTTTCAAAAATATACTTTAAATTTGGATGATCAAAATACAAAAATATCTCCCAATTAATCATCATTTGAGTAACAATATTTACAAAGGACTATCTTGGGAATAAATCTTAATTATAGAGGACCATGTAAGTAATTAAAATTTATTGATGACTGAATTGGGAAAAATACCTTATTACAAAGGACCATTTTGGAAATTTACTCAAGAATCAAACTAAGATTTTTATATGTTTTCCTATAAATAATGCTAACATGCATATAATACTAAAAAAATTGTGAATTATCGATATACAGTGTCACATTATTATCATAATCCAATAATCATATTTTAATTGGAACTAGTATCACACTCGTGCGATGCACGACTCATATTTATACGTTATAAATATTTATCTCTGTTATTATTGAATCAAAGAAATACAATATAATGAAATATAAGGTTTTTCATTATTTTAAGGAATAATTATTTTTTAAATTGCAAATTTTAGAAAATTTCTTTAATCATAATCCAATAATCATACGGAGTATTTTAATTGGAATAAATACATCTCGTAAAAAAGCATTGGAGATCATAAAAAAGCAAAAGGGAAAGAAATTTATAGAGGGAGGGAGTAGTTATGATTTTTTTAATGCGACTAGTTATGGTTATTGAAGAATTGTATTTTCCTTGATCAATAATGTGAGGAGTACATGTATATATATACAACATCTCAATCCTAGTTATGGTAGGAGAGGTATTCTAGGGAAGCTATACAAGTATGGAAACAAATCATAATACAATAATATTAAATATATTTAATATATTTAACATGCTCTCGGCTACGTCGGATGTGTTGGGGGTCGGATACCCAGGCTTTCTCTGAAGTCCAGAAATAAGAGAGAGGGCAGTCCTTTTGTTAAGATATCGGCGAACTGAGAGGATGAAGGAACATGGAGGACTTTGATCTGGCCAAGCGCCACTTTATTGCGTACAAAGTGTATGTCAACCTCGACGTGCTTGGTGCGCTGATGTTGCACCGGATTTGATGATAGATAGACAGCACTAACATTGTCACAAAAGACGAGTGTGGCGCGACGGAGTGGTTGTTGCAGCTCAAGAATAAGATTCCGAATCCAGCAGGTCTCTGCAACAGCATTGGCAACGGCTCGATATTCTGCCTCGACGCTAGAACGAGAGGTTGTGGCCTGGCGTTTGGAAGACCAGGAGACGAGGTTGTCGCCTAGAAAGACACAGTAACCGGATGTGGAGCGTCCGGTGTCGGGGCAGCCAGCCCAATCAGCATCGGAGTAAGCCTGTAAATAATCGGTGGCGGGTCGTGTCAGATGGATCCCGTGGGTGGCAGTGCCACTAAGATAGCGAAGAACTCGCTTCATGGCAGTAAGATGTGAATCGCGTGGTGCATGGAGGTGTAGACAGAGCTGCTAAACTGCATATGTGATATCAGGACGAGTGAAGGTGAGGTACTGCAGTGCACCGACAATGGACCTGTAAAAGGACAGGTCGGAGAGTGCCGAACCCGCGGTGCTAGATAGTTTTGCCTTCGTGTCTACTGGGGTAGAGATGGGGCGGCAAGAGACCATCCCTGCCCGCTCAAGGATATCATGAGTAAACTGAGTCTGGTGGAGAAAGAGTCCGGTGGCTGTGCGCTGGACATTGATCCCAAGGAAAAAATGTAGGTCGCCCATGTCTGTCATAGAGAATTCAGCCTTGAGCTGCTGAATGAGACTCTGAAGCAGTGCCGGGGAGGATGCTGTGAGTACAATGTCATCAACATATAGGAGCAGGTATGCCGTGCCAATAGGCTGAGAGAAGGTGAATAGGGAAGTGTCGGCCTTGCATCCTCGGAAGCCAATAGTCTGTATGAAACCTGCAAACCTGTGAAACCAAGAGCGTGGGGCCTGCTTAAGACCATAAAGAGCCTTCTTGAGTTTGCAAACATAATGAGGGCGAGTGGGATCCTGAAACCCAGAAGGCTGGCTGGCAGAAACGGTCTCCTGTAGCTGACCATGGAGGAACACATTTTTGACATCAAGTTGGTGAATGGGCCATCCACGAGACAGAGCAAGGCTGAGGACGATACGAACAGTGGCAGGCTTGACAACGGGGCTGAAGGTCTCGTCATAATCAACGCCAAAACGTTGGTTGAAACCGCGGACCACCCAACGGGCCTTGTACCTGGATAACTCACCTGAGGGGCCAAATTTGTGTCTAAAAAGCCATTTACCGGTGATAAGGTTTTGAGAGGGGGAGGGGGGTACTAATTCCCATGTGTCATTCTTTATCAAGGCATTAAATTCATCACACATAGCAGCATGCCAGTTTGGATCTTTTAGTGCACTACGGTAGGTTGGGGGTAAAGGAGAGATGGGGACA